TCACGCCTGTAATCCTAGCTACTCAGGAGGCTGAGATCTGAGGATCACAGTTCAAAGCCAGCCTGGGCAGGAAAGTCCATGAAACTTATCTCCAATAAACCAGTAGAAAACCAGAAGTGGCGCTGTGGCTCAAGTGGTAGAGCGCTCGTCTTGAGCTGAAGAACTGAGGGACAGCGCCCAAGCCCAGAGTTCAAGCCCCACGAATGACCAAAAAAAATCCACACACACACACACACACACAGCTTCTATGCAGGCCCCTGTGTTCAAACCCCAGGACACACACACGCACACACACACACACACACACACACACACACAGAGCTTCCAGGCCCTGTATTCAAACCCCAGGACACACACAGCTTCTAGACCCTCTGCCACCCCTGGGCTTTTCATCCCTTGCCATGAGCGCTGCTTGCTGGGTTACTGATAGTGGCCATGCTTCCTCGCAGATGTCTGTCTCGAAACGAGCTCGCAAAGCCTCCAGTGACCTGGATCCAGCCAGCATCTCGCCGTCAGAGGATGAGAACTCAGAGAGCTCGTCTGAGTCAGAGAAGACCAGTGACCAGGTGAGCCGCTGCCTGCTCCTTTGGAGGGCGGGCCGGGGCCTGTGTGAGGGAGAACCCCACGTGGCAGCCCACACCCCCTGCAGCTCCCTTCTCCTCCCACAGGATTTCACCCCTGAGAAGAAGACTGTGGGCCGGCCACCTCGGAGGGGGCCCCCAGGAGGGCGGAAGAAAAAGGTAGGGTGCCCTGTGGTCCCTTTTCTCAGTTTACATGGGGCTCTCTCTCCCAGCCCCGTGGCTTCCAGCCATGACTGACGCATAGAACATGTGGCCCTCTGTGGTGGGGCCCAGGCAGTTTCTTGAGGAGCAGCAGGTTCTGATTCACTATGTCCAGTGTGGCATTCTGGGGGCGGGCATGCCACAAGCCTGCAGAGCCATGTGCGTGCGTGCGTGTGCGTGTGCGTGTGTGTGTGTGTGTGTGTGTGTGTGTGTGTGTACAAGCTAGGGTGAGTACTGCATGCTAGGCTTGGCCGGGGCAAGAGGCGGCTGCTCATTGGCCTGAGGAGGGCATATTTGAACCCCACGATGCCAGCTTGGCCCTGACCTCCACGAGCTGCCAGGCCTGTGCCACCTGCCCTTTTGTTGTAAGGAGGGGTTTGGATGGCACTGAAGGCAGTGGGGGATGGGTGGCCGTGGCCTTCGGCCCTGTGACCCTCTGCCTGCTCGGCCCCGACACCCTGCTGTGTGCCCCAGAAGGTGCCCACAGCCTCCGACTCCGACTCCAAAGCAGACTCTGACGGGGTGATGGCGCAGCCAGCAGCGGTGGCCAGGTCAGCATCGTCCTCCTCCTCATCCTCCTCCTCCTCGGACTCCGATGTGTCTGTCAAGAAGCCTCAGCGCGGCCGGAAGCCAGGTAGGCGTCCGCGGGCCAGGGTGAGCCTGGGTGGGCGTGCTGAGGCGAGGTGGTGAGCATCCTCCTTTTCCCTAGCGGAGAAGCCGCCCCCCAAGCCCCGTGGGAGGAAGCCGAAGCTCGAGAGGCCACCTTCCAGCTCTAGCAGTGACAGGTAGGAGGCGGGCGGGTGGGGCCTGGGGGCGGGGCCGTCACGGGGGGGCGGGGCTTCCGCGGGGGAGGTGGAGCTTTGTGAGGGCCTGCCACTGGGGGCGAGGCCCCTGGGACCAGTGGGAGGGGCCGTCTTTCAGGGGGCGGGGGCTGGTGGGAGGGGCCATCTTTTCAGGGGCGGGGCCGGTGGGAGGGGCATCTTCAGGGGCGGGGCTGGTAGGAGTGACCTTCGCTGAGGCCGGTGGGAGGGGCCATCGTTTCAGGGGCGTGGCTGGTGGGAGGGGCCTTCGCTGGGGCCGGTGGGAGGGGCCGTCTTCAGGGGGCGGGGCCTGTGGGAGGGGCCTTCGCGGGGGCGGGGCCGTGGGGGCGGCGCTGGGACCATCTCAGGGCTGAGCCCATGGCCGCCTCCCCGCAGCGATAGCGATGAGGTGGACCGCATCAGCGAGTGGAAGCGGCGTGATGAGGAGCGGAGGCGTGAGCTGGAGGCCCGGAGGCGGCGTGAGCAGGAGGAGGAGCTGCGGCGGCTGCGGGAGCAGGAGAAGGAGGAGAAGGAGCGGCGGCGAGAGCGGGCCGAGCGCGGGGACGCCGAGTGTGCGGGCAGCGCGGGCAGCAGCGCCGACGAGCTCAGGGATGACGATGAGCCCGGCAAGAAGCGCGGCCGCAACGGCGGAGGAGAAGGAGCGGCGGCGGCGCCCCGAGAGCAGTAGCAGCCCCGAGTCGTCTTCCGGCCACACTGAGGACAAGGCCGGCGGCTCCAGTACGTATAAAGGCAGCGCGCCCTGCGCTTTATGAAAGGGGAGTTGGAAATCTAGCCCAGCACCGCTGTTAAATTTTTATATGCTGTTTTATAAGCATATAAGGTTTATGAAGGGCCTTTAGGTTTTCCCCAACAAAACTTTGTTATAAAAGGCGGGATCACGTGGCGAGTGCTGAAATTGGCCGTGAAATACCCACCGGCCAAAGCATGCCTGCAAAGAAGAAAAAAAAAGCACAACTCCTTTTTTTTTCCCCTTCTTCTTCTTCCCTGTTTTTTTTTTTCTCCCCCTCCTTCTCAGCTCCCAAATCCGACAGCTCGGTCCCGCTCGGGGCCAGCTCCAGGCTGGGGAGCCGGAGGTGGGCGCCTGTAAATTCCCCCTACAAGGGCTTCAGGAGCCTTTGATAGCGAGGTAATCCGGAGATTTTTATAAAAGCCATGTGTTGCGCCGGGGACTCCAGGCCCGGCTGGCATTCAAAGGCATCGCGGGTTAACGATGGCGCTCGGAGCGCATTTCACAGATAAAGTAGCCCGCTTAGCTCGAGCAATATATTAAAAGAAACAAATTAACCTAAAGTTGGCCTTTTTGTCCAAAGGAAGCCATTTTCCTCTGGCGCGGTGGCAATTACGTGCTGCCTTCTGTCCAACTCATGTTAGTCACAATTGTTATTAAATCTGTCAAACGCATTTTTTTCTTGGTCTTGTGGGGTTGGGTTTTTTCTTTCTTTCTTTCTTTAAAGAGCGGGGGAGCAAGTCGATCTTGCCTGTGGCTTCAAGAAGCCACTCTGTCCCCCCCCCCGCTTGTTAAAACAGCACCCCAACCCTGCCGAGGCCCCCCCTCTTCCCCGTTGGCTGTGTGGCATAGGGCTGGGGTCTTCGGCTGACACCCCCCCCTCCCACCAGGCTGGTGGAGAGGTTGTTCGGGAGGCTGGAGCTGATGACCCGCCTGGAGGCTGACAAAGACCCTGCAGCCGCCCCACAAGTTAACAAGATCAGAATCATAGTCACCACGAAAAAGCCTGGGACCTGGGCTCCTTTACTGCTTCGGGAACAGGCGGCCCAGGTGCTGAAGGTGAAATGTCCGTAGGCGGCTGTTTGTTTAGTCTGGCAGGGAGAGAGGCAGCCAGGAACCCCCCACTCGGCTGCTTTCAAAGCGGTTTAGGCAGAGCAAACCCGCCTGTTGCTATAAGGAGCCTTCCCTTCTGCTCGGGGCCAGCCAGAGCACCTTCCCCCGGGGCCTATCTAAGGAGCTGGATTTTATTTGAGGCTGAGCTCCGACAGCAGCTTGTCCCCAGCTCGCAGGAGGAGTCTAAGGGCAGGGACTAGAGGGACCCGAAAGAAGCTTGGTGGGGTCTCCACTGGCTGTGGCTAGCCTTTTTCCTCAACTTGGGGTTTTTTTGTGTGGGGGGGAGATGATTTGTAGCCTCCATGCTTGGCTCACCCCCCTGTCTTTCTCCTTCCATAGGTGGCCAACGTACCCGAAAAAAGCGCTGTCCCTATACCAAATACCAAATCCGCGAGCTGGAGCGGGAATTCTTTTTTAGCGTCTACATTAACAAAGAGAAACGCCTGCAACTGTCCCGCATGCTCAACCTCACCGACCGTCAAGTCAAAATCTGGTTTCAGAACAGAAGGATGAAGGAAAAAAAAATCAACAGGGACCGTTTACAGTACTACTCAGCTAATCCGCTCCTCTAAGGCTCTTGTGGGCTGGAATTGGGTGGGGGGTTTCAGACACGGAAGGTAATATGCAGATTTTGCCCTTGACAAGGTCAAGCTACGTGGTGACTTTTGGGGGGGGGAAAGGAGGTGTACAAGACAGAGGCTATATGGAGATAACCCAACAAGGGAATGCTGGGATTCTCGGTCAAGATCTCAGTGGTTAAGATTCCTATTAATAATTGGATTCTAAGAGTTGTGCATCAACTAGAATGAATGGTTGGGACCCCTGCTGGCTCATTCTGAGAGTCTGCAGCCTATTCAGAGGCTGGGTGTGGTCTCCACTGGGGGGACTGGGCCCCCTGCCAAGACCCCCTGAGGTCTACTTTCCCAGGACCCTCCACACAGAGCCTGCCTACCCCCAGGACTCCAAAGTCAAGAAGCTATGTCCTCTCCAGGCTCCTTTGCACTTGGGGACAAGAGCAGGAGAAGAGGGGAGGACTCCTAGATGCAGAGAAAGGGGGTTGCTTTCCAAAGGCCATGTGAAAGGCAGCTGGACTAAGAGGTGACTGTGAGGTGAGAAAAGACTTCAGATTGATTCTTCAGGGAAGAGAAATCTACTCTCCAGGTGGCAGTGATGTTTCTCCCCTCTTAGCTACTCACCTCACAGTACCATCCTAAGCCCCTAGCGACCACCTCCTAGAGCCCACCTGGATTTTCTTCCTCCCAAATAAGGAGTCTTCATTCCAGTTTGCCACTCAGGCCCAGAGCCTGGTCCAAACGCTGCAGGTTTCCCCCGAGGTGGAAGACTGAAAAATCCAGAGGCTGTGCCCAGGCCGCTGGCCTCTCAATCTCTGCAGGAAATGCCTGTGGAGTGCAGCAGTCTGGTAAAGTCTCCACCACATTTAATGAAACTTGGATTTGCTCTGTGTCAGGCAGCATGGCAGTGGGCCTGGCCAGTGGGTCCATGACTATGGCTACAAGGGGCTGGAGTCCCCCACAATCCGCAGTTCCGGTTCCGATGCCGAACTCTGCCCTCATTGGCTCAGAACTAGGCTTGGAAGCTTCTGGTGACCTTCCAAGACCCTGAGAGTGATTTGGAATTATTTTAAAAGATAAATATTATATTATATATATATATATTTCCCTGAAGGAACCAAAGTGAATTTTAAAAGATGCAATGTAGAGGGTGGGAGGAGGAGGAAAATATTTAAAGGCTCTATCTGTTTACAGTGTTCCACGGTTAAACTCGCTCACTGCTAAGAATATTTGAATGTAAGCTTCATACAGGGATGGTGTTCAAATGACTTGTAAATAAAGGAACCATAACCTAATTTGTTTCAATACTTTTTTTGTCCATTAGTTGATTTCTTCTGGGTTTTGGAAAGCAGTGCAGCTGGTTAGGACCTGGAACCAGGCACCCTCCCTTTGAATCTGTTCTGCCTCCCACTGTTAAGAAATGTCTGGTGTCTCTGTTTGTAATGGGAGTGTTGCCTGTTCTCGGACATTGCCCACCATATACATTGCAGGATGCACACAGACAACAAGACACAAGGAAAATAAAGACAGAGGAAACTTGAGTGATGGGTTGTGGTGTGACATTCCTCTCCCTGCTCTTCTTTCCCTGCCAAATGTCTCCCTTCCTTTGACATCCTTTTACTGGCAAAGGGACAAGTTACCACCACCATTCCCTTTCTAGAGAATGAAGAGGTGATTGAATCAGAATTTGGATACAGTAGAAGCCAAGCTTAGGAAGCCAAGATGGTTGACCATGTCCCTCTGGAAAGTAGGGTCCTAGGGATGGGTTATCTCAGGCCCTAAGGGAGACTTCATTCTCAGCCCTGGAGAAATCCTTGGGCCTGGAGTGGCCAGTGGATTTTACCCTAGGCTCTCCTTGCTCTCCTCAGGGCTGGAGACTGGGGTAAAACCCCTCTGTACTGCCCTGTGGATCCCTCTAACAGGGGGAAGGTCAGTCTGGGCTCCAAGTCAGACCAGACTCTCGGGAGCCCAGTGAGCTTTCTCTCCAGCTCCCAGCTGGGGCAGCGGTTTCCCTTTGGGAAAAGAAAGATGTCGGGTTTCCTCTTTGTTTGCTGCCTTTGAACTTCTGCCTTAAATTTGGACATCACCCATAACCTTGAGGGGCAGGGCGGAAAGGACAGAGCCTTTTGTTGCCCATCCACCCTTTCTTTAGCCACCCAGGCAGGGCCAAAGCAGCAGAGAGGGTCGCATTTGGAAAGAGGCCCCAGGCTCCAGACCCTACTCTGTTTGTTTGTTTGTGTGTTTGTCTAGCTAGCTCAACAGAGGAAAGCCAACTGAAAGGGGAGCGAGACAGACACCCCCCCCATGAATGTCTAAGTTGATGGACACACAGAGAGGAACAAGGGCCCTCCTGGGGGGATAGAGGGGGCGGGCAGGGAAGTCCGGGTTTAGGGAAAGACTTCCTTTGGGATGGTTAAAGATTAACCAAAGTCTCTCAAGTTGCTAGAGTCTAGCCAGGAGAACTGCTCGCGGGCGGGCGGGCGGCGGGCGGGCGCGGGTTTGATTTCTGAGCCCTATAAAAGCCCATCCTCCGGTGGCTGTGACAATGTGGTCGTAAACCCGTCCCGGGAAGGCCAATTTGCATATTTGGAATGCGCCTCTATAAACCCGGCTGGAGTTTTGCAGCAATTTCTTAGATGTAAAAATGAGATCTCAATAGCAGCGGGCTGGGCACATCCTCTCCCTTTCTTCTTCTGTCTCTGCCGGGAACCGGCTTCCTTCTCTCGGCTGCCAGGCTGGAGCTCCGGCTGGGCCTAGGCGCTCAGCCGCCACGAGATGGCGCACTTCCGATCAATGTCAAAGCCGCCGGGGAGCCGGGAACCCCAGCGTGATTCTTGGCCTTTGTTCGCTTCTGATACTAAGAGCAGCACGGTACATTATTTCACTTGTCCCGTTTCCATTCGTACCAAAAAAAAAGGGGGTGCTCGCGCTCAAGAAGTGATCGATGTTGTAATTTAAAGCAAGGAGCCTCCGCCAGGCCTCGCGGGCATCGCGGCGTGGAGAATCCAGCTGCCCGCTGGCAGTGATTTCGGAAATGTGTCAAGGTAAGAGGCCACAGGTTTAGCCATTGCGCTGGGATCCCGGTGGGTGTGGAGAGGTGGCTGATGTCTAAAAAGAGCTGGGGAGCCAAGTGCGCTTTATGGGGCGACGCGGCAGGCGTTCGCGCAGGGGAAGGCCTAAGAGGAAAGTTGTCCACTTTAGCTCCACATACCAACATTCTCCCCCACCCCCAGCATCTTATCCGAGATGATCTGTCCATCTTGTGGGAATAAACCAAAGAATTGAGGATGAGAGATATCTAGGTGAAAGGATTCCCGCTGTGCTGCGAGTCAGGGTAGTGCCTACAGGAGGGGGGGGGGGGGAAGATGGCAGAACTAAGGAAAACGGAAAGTTTGTACGCTAAACAATGGAGAAGTCTGCACCCTGGGCGGGCTGAGTAGGCTTATTCCCAGGGGCAGACAGCCCGAGGTTGCTGGCTTTCTAGTAGGTGTAGTCTAGAAGTCTACTCCAACGTCTGGGAGAAACCTTTGTTTCCCCCAAAAAATCCAACTGGAAGAAGTCGCATTCGAGTTTTGAGACCTTTGCTGAGGTCTGTCTGCGACGCCTATTTGGAAAGTGCCCTTATCACCCGGCTGGCTTTTTGCAGCCAGCAAAATTAGATTTTAAATTAAGCCTTTTTTAGAGTATTTTAGAGAGGTGAATAAATGCATAAGATCCACACACCTATACATTTTCAAAAGGGGCATGAGAGCAATGTCTCATCCAGAAGTATTCATAAAACAAGTTCCAAATGATCAAAACACTTATATTTTGGACATCAGATTTAAATTCCCTTTCATAAATTTTTATTTAAATATATTGTATTTATTTATTATTAAATATATTGTATCTGTTTCTTAGAAATAGTTATTTTGTGTCCCCAGATGAGAAAAGAGAATCTCTTTTCTCAAGAAAAAGAAGGTTCTGTGTAGGTATGTGCATGCATACGCATGCCCGTGTCAATGTGTGCATATCGGTCACCAGTCTTTGTTGGACACAGGCTTCCAAACTATGTCAAAAAAGAGAAAAAAAGCAGCAAGAATGAAAAAAGGAGTGAATATCCACTCTGTGGCTGGAGCCCTTCCTACTAACCCTGACCCAACTTCAGTTTCTTATAGAATGTTGTAATTCAGGGAAAGGCCTTAATACTTCCCCCATGGTAGGCAAAAGCAAACTCAATCACTGGATTTAGGGTAAAAAAAAAATTAAAACTTCTAAGAGTAGATTGCACCTGATCTCTTCAAAGTAGACACATCAAATATCCCTGGAAATATTAAAAATCTTAAAGAAGGACATCATGCTTGTGGGACCTATTTCCAGTTATTTGTAAATTAATGATTCAGAGACACGGAGGATTTTTTGTGTGTTAGCATGGAATACAAAGAAATAACATTATTTTTTCCTCTCTGGGGCTACAGCCCAACCTGATTACCCTATGGATAATTTGGAGCTTGGAAAATATTTTAAATGACCTTCATATACAAATTGTTGGAGTTTTTTGATGTTGTTTTTTTTAAAAAAAAAAAAGAACATGATTTGCACAGTAACAATGTGTAACAATTTATTTCTAGTGGCCTGCAAAGGCCTACTCAGGAAGAGGAATCTGAAATCTAGTCATATGCAGAGTAATACTTGCCAAAGTCTTGGTTGGTCCACAGAGTCTGGCATTTTCTTTGGCTCCATCCATGGAGGGAAGGAGTGTTACTACCAGGTAGAAATGGGTAAAGCTTACTCACCAATAAAGCACAGACTCTAGCAGCAATGTAACCACTGCATAAGCCTGGTGGAAGAAAGCAGGCATGGAAGCTTTTAGGTCAAAAGCATCCTGGCTGAAAGAAAGAAATTAAGCAGCTGGTAGGAAGGGTGAAAGGGAAAGAAGGAAAACAGCAAATGGGCAAGCAGGAGACAGTGAACAGAAGCAGATCCACTCTACGTTGAATAGCTTTTCTTAATCTCTTGGGGATGGGGAATGTCGGGAAAGCCAAGGAGATCAAATCGATACATGGAATATTTTATTGAGGGGGCTAACACCTCACTGTTGTGTTCTAGGGAGTCACCGA